TTTTTTTTCTTTGTGCAGGGTCTCACTACACACCTTGGACTTGTAGTGATTCTCCTCATTTTTACCTCCCTAGTGCTGTGATTATAGGCATGTGCCTCCATACCCAGACTCCATCACTGGCTCAGTGGACCCGGGGGCAGGGCCAGCGTGACATGCTGTGTCACGGATTGAACACTGGCCCCTGCACTCACCTAAGCAAGCGCTTAGTCTGCTGAGCTATATCACAGGCCCTCTGTTTTGCCTTTGTTGCTCAGAATTGCCTTTGTCATTCAAGGCCTCTTCTGGTTCTAAATTAATTGTGGAATGTTTTCTCTAGATCTATGAGCTATACTAATGTCATTTTGACTGGGATTGCAATAAATCTCTGTAACAGTTTTAGAGAGTAGCACCAGTGTCAATATGTTGGGTCTTCTAATCCATGAGCAGGAAAACTCCATTTTCTGACATCCTTTTTGAGCTTTTTTCAATGTATAGCTCTTTCATTTCCTTTGTTAGATTGATTCCTAAGTATTCATTTTTTTGGATGCTATTCCGAAGGGTATTGTTTCCCTGCTTTCTCTCTCAGTAAGTTGGTTATGTACAGGAAAGCTATTGATTTTTCTGTGTTGATTTTGAATCCTTGTACACTACTGAATTTGCTTATTTGCTCTAGGAGTCTTTTGGTGGCATTTTGGGGATCTTCTGTGTAGAGTATCATACCATCTGTAAATAATTTGTCCTCTTTGTTTCCTATCCTTGTTCCTTTTATTTGTCTGTCTTGTCTCACTTGTTCTGACTAATGTTTCCAGAACTAAATTGAATAGGAGTGATGACGGTAGACATCCTTGTCTTGTTCCTGATTTTAGAGTGAAAGCTTTCAGCTTTTGTCCATTTAGTACCATGTCACCTGTTGGCTTGTCATAGATGGCCTTTAGCAGATTGAGGTAAAGACCAGGTATCCAATTTTCTCTAGGGTTTTTATCATGAATGGGTGTTGAACTTTATCAAAAGTTTTTTTTCTGCATCTGTTGAGATAATCATGTGGCTTTTGTCTTTCATATGGTGTATTACATTTGTTGGCTTGCAGATACTGAGCCATCCTGCATTCTTGGGATGAATCCACTTGGTCATGGTATAGCATGATGATGATTTGCTGAATTCTGTGTGCTGGTATTTTATTGAGGAGTTTTGCATCTATGTTCATTAAGGAAAGTGGCCTGTAGTTCTCTCTTTTGGTTGGATCTTTCTCTGGTTTTGATATCAGGGTAATACTTGCTTCCAGGAATGAGTTAGCAAGAATTACTTCCCTTTCAATTTCATTAAAGAGTTTGAGGAGTATTGGTATTAAATCTTCTCTAAATTTCTTGTAGAATTCAAAATTTTTTACCACTGGGTAAGTTTCTGCACTCTGTTGGTCGTTTCTTTTACTATTCAAAAGCTTTTTAATGACATCCCAGTTAGTGATCTTTTATATTTCTTGTGTGATTGGGTTTTTGTTCATAATCTTTGCTTATATGCCTTCAATAATTTTTTCTAGCTTCCCTACAGATTGTGTTTTAATATTTGGATCTGTGGTCTATTTCAATTTTAGATTAGTGCATGACAAGACATGTTGGTCTAGTTGTAGTCTTTGGCATGTGTAAAGCCAATTTTCCCCCTGCAGTATTTATTAAGAGTATATTTCTGGGAATGGTGGCACACAGCTGTAATCCCAGCACCTGGAAAATGAATCAGGAGAATGAATCATCGTGAGTTCAAGGCCAGCCTACACTACATAAGGAGACCCTACCCTGTCTCTGTCTTTCTGTCTCTTGCTCTCTGATTCTCTTTCTCTGTTACACACACACACACACACACACACACACACACACACACAGAGGAGGCTTTTTTCCAATGAAGATGTTTGGAGATTTTTACAAAGATACAGTGGCTGAGTGCATTTGTAGTTGTTCCTGCATCTTCTGATCTGTTCCACTGATCCTCGGGATCAGTACCACGCTGATTTTATCACAGTAGCTTTGTAGTATAATTTCAAGTTAGGGACTGTGATGCCTTCTGCCTTGCCTTTGTTGCTCAGAATTGCCTTTGCTATTTTAGATCTCCATGACTTTTAATAATGTCTTCTCTAATTTTGTGAGACTGGGGATATATAGCTCAGTGGCATAAGTGCCTGCCTGGCAAGTGCAAGGTCCTGAGTTCGATCCCTGGTACCTCAAAGAAAAAAAAAAATTAACTTGGTGAGATATGCTGCTGAAGCCTGCATGATGTGACACGCACTTTCCCCAGAAGGGTTGTCAGAGTCGGACTGTTGGTGGGGCGTTTTCAGCAGACTAGGCGCAGGCTGTGTGGATGAGTGTCTGAGGGATGTAGTGTGGCTTGGAGACAACCTAAGTCCCTTTGAAGAACCATCTCGCACCATGTGCATCCAGCCACCCTGTCCCTTGAGTACCTCGAGCACGTGGGCTCCTCAGCACTAGAACCCAGCCATGGTAGTGGCTGCCACCAACCCTCCTGTCCCCTACAGAACATCCGGGCACTGATGGGTGTGGAGAAGACCAAGGGCTTCTGCCAGCTGGTGGTGTCCTCCAGCCTGCGGGATGGCACTTCCCACCTGATCCAGTCAGCTGGCCTGGGTGGCATGAAGCACAACACTGTGCTCATGGCCTGGCCCCAGGCCTGGAAGCAGTCGGACAACCCCTTCTCCTGGAAGAACTTTGTCGGTGCGTGTGGCCCTGGGCCCTCCGTGCTGCATCCTACCCCTGGCTGGGTGTGTCACACCTGTCCCCATTCTGTGTCCCTGGGCCTGAGGGCACAGTCTACATGCTCCCCATGCCCACCCCAGCCACGTCCCACAGGACGTGGAATGTGCTGCTTGGAGGCTATGCCCTGAGGTCATGTGGCCACTTGCCCTCAGGCGACTCACCCCCACCTCCTGCCTCTGCAGACACTGTCCGCGACACCACAGCTGCCCACCAGGCCCTGCTGGTGGCCAAGAACATCGATGCATTTCCCCAGAACCAGGAGCGCTTGGGTGAGGGCCACATCGATGTGTGGTGGATCGTGCACGACGGTGGCATGCTCATGCTGCTGCCCTTCCTGCTGCGCCAGCACAAGGTGGGCCAGTCGGGGCTGGGCCAGGGCTCAGGGGACCCAGGAGGCAGGAGCTCACGGGGCCCGCATGGCCGTCGTCCCCAGGTGTGGCGCAAGTGCCGGATGCGCATCTTCACAGTAGCCCAGGAAGACGACAACAGCATCCAGATGAAGAAGGACCTGCAGATGTTCCTGTACCACCTCAGGATCAGCGCTGAGGTGGAGGTGGTGGAGATGGTGCGTGCTAGCTCATGGGGACCAGGCAGGGACAGGGTGGAAACCCCGCATACTCCCCGGTCGACTTCTGCGTGGCATAGTACGGTGCCGCCTCCAAGGAGCCTACAATGTAGTTTACTCACAGTCCCCAGCACCAGTTGGTCAGGCGTCCTGCTCCCAGAGCTCTTGTCTGGGAGCTGAGGTGCGCGGGGCCTCTTGACACAAGTTCTTACCTGTGCTGCGAGGTGTCACTGCTCTTGCTGAGTCATTGTGCAGTCAGGCTGGTTGCTCCTAGTTCCTGTGGTTGTGACCCTGGCTGCTGCAGGACACAGCCTAGCTAGACGTGGCCTGGGGTGCCTGCTGCCCTCCTGGCAGTGATGTGGCAGTGCTGACCCTGCCCAGGCTGCAGACGCTGCTACAGCAGGCAGTGCCATCCCAGTCATCATGTGCATCTCTGAAACCGCAACAGGGCCAAGCAGTTGGATGTACCCCCTTGGCCTCTCGGGTCTAGGGCTGCTCCTTCCTGCCTATCAGGACCTTCCCTGCTGTGCCTGGGCCTGTTATGGGCACTGTGTCACGTGCACCAGTCTCAGTGCTCGCAGGCGGGCCCAGGACCTGCTCTTTGCAGCCTGACTCACAGCCTGGCCATGGTGACCGGGAGACAGGGAACAAGCCCTGGAGGTGGGAGGTGGCCAGGGCAGCTGCAGGGCAGCGGGGAGACCCAGCGCCAGGTGGAATCCCTACACCTGGAGCCTGTGCTGTGTGTGGGCTTGTGCCCTGGCCAGGCCCTACCGCAGTGACACCATCATAGTCGTGGTGCAGGCCAACGGGTTGTATACCAGAGCCTCGGTGTCACTCTGAGCAGTGACCGGAGGCATTCCGTGGCTGTAACCTTTGTGGGTGATGAGCTGTCCTGCATTTGGCAAAAGATAACTGTTACATGTAAGTGTCCCTTGAGGCACCACCCCGTGGCATGGCTGGAATGCTCTGTCCAGAGCCCAGGTGAGATGTGTGCCCAAGCGTAGTAGCAGCATGGTTGTCACATCACTGGTGTTTGCATCAGGGTGGACAGGCAGGAGGTGAGCATGTCCGGTTGTAACCACCAGCCTCACACTCATGTCCACTTACACTCTGGCTCCAGCCCTGCTGTGAGTGGAGTCCAGACCCCCAAGGGAGGACAAAGGGGTCAGGACACATGGTGTCTATATATACCAGGGGCCAGTGGGACACAGAGGGGACAGGAATGGTGGCGAAGCTTTCTGTGTCACCTCTGTGCAGGTGGAGAACGACATCTCCGCCTTCACCTACGAGAAGACACTGATGATGGAGCAGAGGTCCCAGATGCTGAGGCAGATGCAGCTGTCAAAGACCGAGCAGGAGAGAGAGGTGCGAGGAGCCTGGAACCCAGACCCTGTCCAACCGCTCACGTGTCCAGACCCAGCAGGAAAGAGCAGAGTGGGGACCTGAGCCCTGGCTAGGTGTCCCCACCCTCACTCTGTACCTAGGTCCCTTTGGAAGAAGGCCTGGCTTGGGAGTTGAGGCTCATTAAACCACGGGTTTGGGCCCCTGTGGGTTTTTCCACCCCGTCCTTCTCCTAGATAATCAGTGGTGACTACAATCCCAACTTGTAAGCAGCCTCTCTTCACTTGGAGCCCCAGCACGGCGTCCATCCCCACCCCATCACAGTCACCTTGCCGAGTGCACAGGGAAGCCTGGAGACCAGGCCAGGAGGTGGTGCCATGAGAAGCTGGAGGGCCCAGTCTTAGGCCGCCTGCGGGGAGAAGACCCTCATAGCCTGGCTGTCTTCTTTAGTGGTACAGTTGTGGGTCATCGGCCCTGTGGCAGCACCAGGCTCCATGTGGGGCCAGGTCGAGGTTCCTGGGTCCATATGACATCTTACAGGCTGTGCTGCGAGCTGGACACGAATCCCTCTTCCTGTGGACCGCGGAGCCCCAACCTGTACTGAGTCCACTCTGCTATGTCCCCTAGGCCCAGCTGATCCATGACCGGAACACTGCCTCTCACACTGCAGTGGCCACCAGAGCCCAGGCCCCGCCGACGCCAGACAAGGTGCAGATGACCTGGACGAAGGAGAAGCTGACGGCAGAGAGGCACAAAGACAAGGGTACCAGCGGTGCGGCAGGGTTCAAGGACCTCTTCAGCCTGAAGCCGTGAGTGTCTGCCTGTGGCCCACAGGTCCAGTAGGCCCAGCGGCCTGGCCTCCCATGTGTCCTGTAGCCTGGGGCTCCCGTGGGCAGGGTGAAGTTGACCTTGTACCTGTTGTGTGCTGAAAGAGCCCAGCTCTCCCAGACTACAGTTCCCGCTCCTACCATGCCGGTGACTCAGCCATCACATTCCCTAGGCCCCTGCCAGAGCCCTGTGAGTGCCCACAACCCCAGGACCAGTTGGGGCCTCTTGGGGCTCGTCTTGATTCCTCCTGTGGGCTCCCAGCCCTGGACTGGGTCGGAAACCACTTCTCAGTCCAGTCTTGGGGATGGGGGTACCAGGGTTTACTGAATGCCAGGCAAGTGCCCTACCCTAGCAAGCAGGGTGGGATGCACCATGCCATCAGGTGTGCCTGTCCCAGACTAACCTGCTCTCCATTCCTCTTGCTGCGGAGGGAGTGGGGAAGCCTGTAAGTCCAAGCCCCGCCTGCAGCCCTATGCCTGCCTCCCTGCACGTCCCTGCACTCAGCCTGCCTGAGTGGAGTGTCTGTCTGCCTGCCCTCAGCACACACCCGACTGGGTGGGCGGGCGGGCCTAAGCAGCACCCTGCACACAGTGAGCCTGGCAGCTGGTGCAGAAGCTTGGTGAGAACCTTGGTGGAAGCGGCCACATCCAAGCTCCAGGGCAGGCATCCCATACCAGGCCCAGGGGGAGGACACAGAGTGCTGCTTCCTGTGAATCTCAAGTTTCTCCAAATACTTCATAAGTTAAAACACAGCACCCAGGTGACTTGGGAGCAGGGTTCTCCCATCCTGTGCCTGAGCCCCCGCACCCACACCTTACCAGCCCCCCGAGGACCGCGGCTCTGGTGTATAGGTCTTGGCTCCTGAGTCTCCGATCCAGAGGACATTCTGTGGGGACTGGGGAACGAGTCAGCCTTGGCCATTCCAGCAAAGCTCTGCTCCATGTCTGGTCCTCCATGGGCACCTTGATTCAGGTGCCTGCCGGGGAGTTGGGAAAGCTTTCAGAACCCCAGGGGTGCTGTCTCTCCACCTGTGCCTAGGATCCCATCAGGGCAAGACCTAGGCTGTGGGGTTAAGGTCATGTGCAAATTCCAAGCCCTTGACTCCTGCCTGACCTCCAGGGTCATATGCAGTTCCAGAGCTACTACTTGAACAGCCGCTTAGGGACAGTGGCTCCCCAAGCAGCAGTTAGGGGGTTCTCATAAGGAAAGATGCTCTGGGGGAGTCCCAGTCCTGTCACTTTATCAGGCTGAGTTGGCACAAGGACAGTGATCCTTTGCCCTGGCTTCCTTCTGGTACCACAAGGTCCTACCTAATCTGAGCCAGTGGCTTGGCTTGAGTGGCCACAGGCTATACTTGGGGTGTCTTCAGGTCCCCCTGACCCACACCTCGTGGCCCCCATCTGTCTGCCCCTGCATGTAGGCAGAGGAACTCACTAGGAAGGGCTGTGGTGGGAACTGGTGGTGACAAGCTGGCCTTGACCCTGTTCTTTGGCTCCAGAGGCCTGGACAGGTTTTCCCATGAGATGGAGGCTCAAGCTGGCCAAGGGGTAATGCTCTGTGGCAGGACCACCAGGAGGCTTCCTGGGACACGAGTTCTGGTCTAGACAGTAGCCACCTGCCTGGGGACATGTGGGGCCCATGAGGCAGCTAGGTGTGTCTGTTTGCACATGCGTCCCAGCAGTGCCAGGCTGGGTGGCTTGGCCCTTCCTGGGCTGTGCAGAGCAGATACAGAGGCCTCAGAAGACTGTCCCCAGACCCTGTGGGCTGAAGATGGGGCCAGGGCCACAGCAGCCAGGTCAGCACTGTGCACAGCAGGGGCCAGGAGTTGGTGCAGAGGTTTCTGTTTTGGGGCACAGGACCCTCCCAACCTGAAACCGGTTTGGGGTGCACTAGACAGTCAGGGTTGGGGCATGCTGGAGATTTCATCAGAGACAAGGCCAGGCCACAGTAGCCCCCTGCTCACCTGCACACCTGCTCTGCTGGCCTTGTGCCCTTGCTTCAGCCACTGTCCTGTGGGGGCCTAGCTTGCTTCTGCAGCTGCTTCTGAGTCCCAGGCTGAACAAGTTGCAAGGATCCAGGGCCAGGCCCAGCCCTGCTCCTGGCATGCGTGAGCACAGCACAGGCCATGCCACCCAGCACCGCTCCCCTCCTCCCTTCAGGGACCAGTCCAATGTCAGGAGGATGCACACAGCCGTGAAGCTAAATGGCGTTGTCCTCACCAAATCCCAGGATGCCCAGCTGGTCCTGCTGAACATGCCAGGACCTCCCAGAAACCGGCAGGGTGATGAGAACTGTATCCTTGACATGGAGCAGCTGGGGGGTGGTGTGTGACCGCCATCCAGGGGATTGGTGGGGAGATGAATGGGTGCTGTGACCCAAACCTGCCTGCAGGGTAAGCCCAGCCCTCATGGGTGCAGTCCCCTCCCTTTTCCCTGGTGATCAGGGTGATGGTGGCCAGGCGTGGCCTGCAGGTAGCCAGACGTGGCCTGCAACACCATCCCTGCCTCGCCTTCCCTCCCAGGGTCCCCTTCCTTCCTCAGACTTGTCTGCCTTGAGTGACGTCTTCCTCCCAGCAGCTGCAGACTACTGACCTTAACTCCATACCCAGACATGGAATTCCTGGAGGTGTTGACCGAGGGGCTGAACCGGGTGCTCCTGGTCAGGGGCGGCGGCCGTGAGGTCATCACCATCTACTCCTAAGCCTGGTATTGCTGGGTGGGCGATGCCATTCTGTGAGGTGCCAGCCAGCCAGACCACACAAGTGGCCCCCTTCAGGACCTCGGAGCTGTCTCCTGGATCCCCCTCTTTGCAGAGACCTGGGCAGCACTGGGGGACGAAGTGGCCCTGGGCCAGGATCCCCTGCTCCTCCTGGATGGGCTGTCCAGCATGTGGGCAGTCACTGCCCACCTCCCACTTGGGCACTTGTCAGGTACTACTGTGCTCTGGGGCTGAGGGCCGCCAGTCCCCACCTCCTCTGACTGCCCAAGTGGGAGAACAGTGAAGACCACTGCCCTTTCCCTGGGTCGGTGCCCATCCCGTCCACCTCACAGGCAGAGCACAAGCTGGCCGCCTGGAGGGGGAGCCAGAAGGAGGACGTGGGCCTCGACCTCGGGGGCAGAGGCTCTGCCCATGGAGCTGCAGGCTCCAAAGCACTGACGGTGCCCAAGGGCACGAACGCCAAGGTTTCTCCATGCTGCCCAAGGGCAGAGCCCCTCCTGCCCTGCTGAGGGGCACTGTCTCACCCTTTGCCCTCGAGAAGGACACACTCAGCTGTGGCTAGGGCTGTCTAGGCAGGATCTGCCTGGCCGTGTCCCTGTGTCTCCACCTGGGACAGGCTCTTGATGACCCTCAAGGGCCGAACACAGTTTGCACTTTGCCTTTGAGCTTTCTGCTTTGTAGGTCACAGTCATGGGTCATGGCAGCGATTTATGCCTTGCTCTCTGTAGAATGTATTTATTTATTGAAATAGTGGGGGGCAGTGTCCTGATGATTACGTTTGTGTGGGAACCTAGGGCCAGGCACGTGGCATTCGCTGGCATCCAGGTTCCTCTAGAGTCCGCACAGGCCACAGAGGCTGTCTGGTGGTGGGCCAGCTCTGACCAGAGGCGTTCCTGAGCTGTCTCACTGGGCAGGTCGGTTCCCGTCCAACCACTGGTGCCCAGTGCATGGCCAGCCAGCACAGTGGGCCCAGGCCTCCGTGACCTCTGCCCACCTTGCTGGACCCTGAGACCCTGATGGCCTCGCCCCTGGATGGAGGTGAGGGGAGCAGGTGGCGCCCATCTGTGAGTGCTCCCTGCAGCCTTTCAGACGCCTGTCCGTTTTCCTTTTATAGCCTCATTGTCTTTGTACGATTTTGTTAGTGGAATAAAATCCTGTGAAATCTGAGTGGCTGTAGGAGTGCACGTACTCTCGCTTCCCCTCTCGGAGATGGCTGCAGGCCAGGCGGGACACACCGAGCCCAGGTGGTGGGGCTGCCACATGCGTGTGCCCACGTGATAACAAGCACCACGGAGCAGCACTGCAGTGATAAGGGGGCCCAGCCTGCACTTCTCTTGTCCTTGTGCTAGAATGGAACTCAGGGCTCCCCATGCTTGGCAGCTCTGCCCCCTAGCTGCACCCCAGTTTCAAGGGGCAGGAGCACCCAGAATGTCACCAGTGGCGGCCAGCACCTTCCTTGCCTTACTGAGTCCGTGACTGAGGCAGGAACGAGGGCCAAGGGTGTGGGAACTAGGGGCCGGGGTGAAGACAGTGCAGCCTGTGGCTCCCCAAGCTGCTGTCACTGGGAGAAGCTGCATGAACCCTTCTCCCCACCTCTTACCAGGGCACTGGGCATGCCCATAACTAGCGTCTAGTCCCAGAAGGTAAGATATCATGGTGCTCGTGGGTGGGACGGCTATGACGGGCCTAAAAGGCCAGAGCACCCCACCTGCACCATTTGCTGGCCCGGATGGTACAGGCACCTTGGAGCCATGAGCCTGGCTGCCTAGCACTTCGCTGGGCCCATCAGGTTGACTTGCCTCAGAAGCAGGTGGCAGGGCTGAGGTGACTGGCTCTGGCTGGCAGAAGCCTGCAGTCGAGGGCTGGAAGAAAGATTTCCAGGGAAAGACGGGACACGCTGGGCACCCATAAGGCATAGCTTTGGAACATGCTTCGAGGAGATCAGCTTGTTCCACTGAGGCCATCCAGCAGACACAGCCCACGGGAACACAGACCACAAATGCCTGCACTCCCCTCACAAAGGGCCCTTGGCCCGTGCTGTCCTCACCAGCTGTCCTGCCTGGGGAGGCCCTTCATAGCATGGCAGGGCCACCTCCTGGCCTACAGGCATGGAACTCCCAGGCCAGGCCCGTCCAAGCTAGCCCTGTGGAGGCTGTCTGGTCTACTTGTGGGGGCGTGGCGTGTCCACCTCCACGCTGGCTCCTTCGTGGTGCACTGAGTGATTTGCTGTCTGAGGCCGCCCTCAAGGTGAGGCTATCATAGCGGGGTCCTGCGGCTGGCAGGTGCCCACTGCTAGCTACTCAGGGCCAGACAGTCCCCACTGCCACTCAGCCTGTCCAAACCAGGTCTAAGTCAGAGGAGGCTGGCGCTCAGCCTCAGCCCTCATCCCAGCTGGTCCCCAGGATGCTGGGGACATCCAGCCTGTGACATCACTGGAGGAGTGGGCTGGGTGGTGTTGAAGTCAGCAGAGCCTTGATGCAGGGTGGGCAACTGCACCAGGACTCATTCCAAGGGCCCCCGGCCCAGGTGTGTCTCCGGGCCCACCATGTGTAGGGTACAGTCAGGTCCAGCAAGAAGGCCAGCCAGGTGCATGAAGGGCAGACCCTGGGACCCCAGGTCTCCTTAGCGCAAGGGCATAGCTCACAGGAGATGCCAGTGTGCAGAAGCCTGAAGACATCGAGCAGCAATCAGGCCAGGCTGCATGTGTCTCCCGACAGACTTCTCGCCAGCTCCCAGCCCCGCAGAACCCAGTGCTCACAGCCACGATGGCTCCTGCGGGCGCAGCTGCATTTGGGTTTCCGGGTCAGGCATTAGTGTTTCTTAGAACAGCACAGTGGAAGAGCCCTCCCTGTGCAGCGGTCTTGCCAAGGGCAGGCACGCTCGTCACAGCTCGCGCCCCTGACACATCATGTGGCGGGGGATCACAGCGCTCGGGAAAGCCTGTTCCAACCCAGTACGACAGGTTACCAAATGCAGCGTCTTTATTATGCCTGCAAAAACACTTCAGCGCCCACATGGCCATCAGTTTGCTCAATGTTTGAAGACTATGTGAAAGGAAACAATTGCCAGGGCATGCTCCGCCAGCCACTTCCTGCCTCTATGCGACCCACTGGGCCATGCGCTGCTGGGCTCTTGTACTGCCAGCCCTCATGGAAGGGAACACCTGGGAGGGGCCTCTGGCCACACACGAGTGACCTGAGTCTGGGCCCTTTGCCTGGAGGAGCCAAGCAGGAACACCCCCACCCCCAGTGTCTGCTGACTGACCACAACCTGCATACACCCCTGCCCTGTGCCCCAAGGTGCAGAGACGCACTAGGGACCTGCTGCCTCCCCACTCTGCCAATTCTGCACCTGCCATTTTGCCACTTCATAGGTTGTGCTCAGAGCCAAGCACACGAGGACTTAGGAGACATGGCACCCAAGAAGCCTCCCCACACCCCAACTTCATAAAGAATAAGTACAGGAGGCTTTGGCTCTCTGCCCAGACCTAGTGCCACTGGAGGAGGCTATAGTCCTCGAGGGGAAGTGAGAATGGACTCCCTACCACACTCTGCAGACCACATGGAGGTACAGAGCGGGTTTCCACACGTGTTTCCACCGGGCACTGTCCCAGAGGTGTTGAGTGCTCCTGCCACGCAGTGTGGAGGAGGAAGGCCTTGCTCACGGGGCCATCCTCGTGCTGTCTCAGTGCTGTTCCCCTGGTGCCTGAACTAGGTGTTGGGTCAGGGGACACCTGCTCCCAGTAGGCAGAGGCTCCTGTTCCACATCCACTGAGGGAGTGTAGCCTGGGCTGAGCGTGTGGTGTCCCTGCCAGGGGTGGCGGGTACTAGGATGGGTGGAAGTGGTGGTGATGGTGGTGGTGGTGGTGTTCATGGTGGTGGTGGTGTTCATGCCGCTGGACCATGGGCACTGAGTAGCTCTCAGTGCCCAGCGTGGGTGGCAGATCCCGCACCGCCTCATGCTCCACTGTGGCAGGCTGGCTGTGTACACCTTTGAGTGGTGAGTGGGCCTCCCTGCCCTTCTGCCGAGGCCGCCTGTGACCATGGGGCAGTGGCAGGGATGGTGCTGGAGGTTGGGCCAGGTGGTGGCCACCATCCAGGGTGGTCTGTGGGGATGTGGCGGCTGGCAGGTAGTAGCTGGGGGATCTGCCAGCCTTTCCGATGCCTGGCGCCCCAGGTGGCTTCCCAGGACCCTTAGGGGACCTGAGGAGTGGCTTCTCTGGCCCCTTCAGCCGGGGCTGCACATCCAGACCACGGGCAGTGGGCTCGGTGGCCAGTGTGGCGTGGTCAGCCAGCACCTGAGAGCGGCGGTGGTGCACAGCGTGGGAGTCAGGCTCCTGGGAGCGGGAGCGGCTCTGGGGGTGCACAGCCCTGCTGGGGTACTCCTGCTGGGCCTGCTCAGGTGGTGACCCTGCAATGGAGTGGGTGTGAGCCTGGCTGAGGCTAGGACAGGGAGTCTGTGTCCTCCCACAGGAGCCAAGTGTGACAGGGAGAGACTTCAGCCTACACACGCCTGGCTCTGCCACCCCCAGCCTGGGTCCCATGAGTGGACTTCTCTGGCACAGCCAGCCTGTGCAGGACTCTAGGACACACAGCTGCATCCCCTTCGCAAATGCCCCAGGGGAGGCCCAGAACACTCCCCACACCCCAGGCTCTGGAATGGCTTGGTGATAAAGACCTAGCCAGATCAGCCTCAGCCACGTGATCTTGGTCAGGTGCTCTGTAAGTGGCCAGGTAGTGTCTACACTATCATGAGGTCCAGCCTGTGAGGACACTGGGCAGTTGACAGGCATTCTGACCAACCCTGGCTCAGGACTCTCCCGTAGGCCACCAAGGACTGCAGTCTGCAGGGAACATGGTGGGCAGGCCCACTGGTGTCCACACTGCTGGCGTCCTGCCCTCTATAGTGACCTTGTCCTCTGTCCGTAAACATCACCTGCTGCAGGGATTCCTACTCAGATGTGACCTCTGGCTTTCTAGATGCCAGCCATTGTGGGAGGGTGAGACACAGGTCCCCAAGCAGGAGGAAGTTGTGCCTGGGCAGGGGTCACTCCTGGCTCTGCACCCGTGGGGACAGAACCAAGGTGGGGATGTAGGCTGGACCTACCAGGACCAAACTTGGAGGTATAGTTTTCAATTCCGGCGAGATCCAGGTAGTGGTTCCTGCGCTCAGTGTTCTCATCCACGCAGTAGGGACCCCGGACGGGGCAGGGGCGGGGATCGCCACTGGGCCTCCTGTGCGAGCAGACAAGGGGCCTGATCACCCACCTGGGCCAGGGCCTCACTGACCCGATGGCCATGCAGAGGGCCCCAGACTGCTCTGCCCAGCACCCATCCCCGCCAGCAGAAGGAAGAAAGTCTCTGAACACACACCACGGGCAAGGCCCGCAGCCAGGCACAGAGGACTATCCGGCATCCTGTACACCAGCCACAGGTCTCAGAGAGCCCTGGGATGCCGTCCAGCTCCCTCTGGGGCCAAAGTGGCCACTGCTTCGTCATCTGGGCCAGTGGCTAGAGCTCCAGGGATCCAGAACACCCCCAGGCTGAGGGTCCTGGGCAGATCACCACGGACTGTCAGAGCCTTCCCATCTCAGAAGACCTGGGTACTCAGTTGGCTGGGGACCTGTGCCCCATGGCAGGCAGCTCCCAGCTCCCAATGCTGATGTCTATCCCAGTGGGTCAGCCTGCAAGGATCCAGGGCATGCAAGACACAGCCCACCTGGTACCTGCACCCCGTTCACCTGATGTGGGCAGACAGCCTCTTGTCAGCCCCCCGGGGATCCTCGGCAGGCTCATTCTCCGTCCTGCTGCGAGTGGGCTCCTGGTCTGAAAGGGGACGGAGTACACACACATTCATTCAGTGCTTGCCCATTCACTTACTCCGCCCTTCCTTGGCCCTTTGCTGCCTTCAGAAATTCGGGCAGCCCTAAGCTTAGCCACCCATCCACAGTTATGCACTCAGCTGTGCTGCTCTCATTTCCTGTCTACCTGCTTATCCAAACTTCTGCCCATCCATCCACCCATCTGTCCATCCATCCATCCATCCATCCATCCATCCATCCATCCATCCACCTATTCACTCATGCAGTCGTCACTCTTATGCAATCCTTTACACACCCGTCCATCTGCTCACTAAGCAGACTGTGCTGAGCTCTACCAGGCCAGCCCCACTGTGTAACCAGAGATAGGTTTCTACACAGGAAGGGCTGGATGAAGTTAAGCATGACCCCTGGTGGGGTGCAACACTCAGAGCTATGGGACAGTGCGGGAGAGGAGTGGGGTGTGCCCGGTGGGTTCAAGGGAGGGCTGCCCTGGGAGCACTCATGGGACAGAAGCACCCGAGCAGCCGCAGCCCTCGCCTAGGGCCCTCACCCTGGTTGGCAGGACACTCCTTCCTCGTGCCTGCAGGCTCAGGGCTGACAGTCAGCTTTACACGGAGGGTCTTGCTGCTGCCTGAAGAGTGGTTCATCGAGGCATCGACAACCTCATAGATGGTGTGCATCAGGCTGGACATGTCCTGGGATGACACAGCAGACCTCAGAGGGAACACTGCCCCCTGCCCCAGCCACCCTAGGCACCTCAGGCTCCATTCATCTTGCGCCTTAGGTGGACACACAGGCGTGCCAGGAAGGCCTCATCCTGGCCGAGGTCATCCTAAGGACGTGTACCCTGCTGTCCTCAGTTCATGTTTCACAGGGCCGATGTCCAGAGGACTAAGTGGCCAGACAATGGCCAGATTCTCTTTCACTAGGTGTGCCCGTTTTGCATGTTAGTGTCCATGTCCCACTGCCTGCTTCCTTTCAGACGCCTTTGGCTGTCCTGGACACAGGGCCTGGCTGAGCAGGGGGCCCTCGGGACTCAGACTGCCTGTGAGGGTGCTGGGTCATAGGCATGCAGATGCCAGCCCTCAAGGACACACAGTGCGTCCCCTCTCCTGTGCCTCCTTCCTGCCCTGGCCCTCCCCTCTCTCCTTCAGTGGGGCTCAGTCTGTCCTTCTATTGGGGATGTGGCATCATATTCTGCCCACCTGTCCTCTAGGTCAGCTGGGTTCTTCCAGACCTGGAGATACCCTGAACCCACTCTCCAAGGGTGCTTGGTGTGTTACCTCCCTAGCGACCATCCCACTGTTGTCGAAGTCATAGAGCGTGAACGTCCACTCCTGGCGGGGGTTGTCCTCCTCCACAGAGACATCGCACTGAAGGGCCTGCAGGCGCAGTAGGAATACAGACCAGGAGTCTCCCCATGGCCCAGAGATCTGCACACACCATGGCTCAGGGACTCACCACCTGGGACACCTTCCTGGAGCAGCTCCTTTGAACAGGGCTGAAGTCGTCCCAGCTTCCAGTCCGTAGGGCACCCCAGGTGTGGCCTGGAACCTCCAGATCCACCCTCACCTAGCTCCACCCTCCCTACCAAGATGCTGTCTCCACCCACACCAGTGCCCAGTGGTGTCACCTAGAATGAGAATTAGGCCACACAACTTCCAGGCTCCCCAGTTCTAGAGAGCTGAGCTGAAATCCAGGGCCATGTGGGATAGGGGCCAAGACCTACATCAATGTTCAGGCGCCTCCTGGGCCCTCCTCTGGGGCCCTCGCGGGCTGCTGCCTTCTCGCCATCATCCACATTGAGGAGCTGTCCTGGGCCCTCATGAACTTCAGCTTTCTTAGGCGGCAGAGCCACTGTGGGGACAAACAGGGGTGAATGACGGGCCAGTCCGGGGGGTGGCGTGGGGTGGTGGGGATGTGAGGGAGTGACTGCTACCATCCACACTAAGTCACTGACCTTTCCCAATGACCCGAGCAGAGAGCCACTGCTGTGGACCAGGGCAGTCAGGGAACCCCCAGCCAGGGCATCTGCAGCCTACCCCAGCCTCTCAGCCCTGTAGCCTTCACAGCAGCTTCCAGAAAGCAGCCTAGCTTCTCAGGGCAAGGGTGCTTGACACTGTAAACAGGCTGGGGTTGGGGTCTCAGAGCCTTCAGCCCCTCCCATCTGCATAGCCCTGCTTTCCTGGAGTCCTGGGATGACCTGTCACTCTGCTTGGGGACTGAATGCATCAAAGACCACACACATAGCGACCGGGGCCTGACGGATCACCAGTCCTGCAGCACACAATCTCAGCCCCTGTGCTGGTCCACACAGCCAGCTGACAGGCGTCCCTAAGCTATGACATAAGCCAGCACTGGGGACATGGCTTGACCTCTGCGTCTCGGATGGCCAAGTCCAGCTTGTGTCTCGTGTGCAGCCCAGTATGTGGGTGTGTCTGTGTGTGCTGTGAGAGAATGTCCTTGCAGAGTACAGTGACATCTGAAGGGTCGGGAGCAGCAGGGGGTGGGCCAAACTCACCTTCTAGGGGGCCCTGGTCTTCCCGGAAAGGCCCCTCCTTAGGATCCTCGCCAGGCAGCTCCTGCAGGAAGACAGGGCAGCGAGTGACCAGGCTCAGCTGGGCAGACATGCATGTTTCTGCAGACATCAGGGAACCTCCTCTCTGGGACAAAAACCTCAGCCCCAGCCTCACACAGAACGCATACAGCTGCTGCAGGATCAGGCTCCTGCTGCGCTGCCTGCAGGGCTCCCCGCCCCCTGCTCCCAGCAGCCCACACAGCCCTCACTAAATCTGTTCTGAGGTGCCCAGGACCCAAGGCAGTGTCTCTGGAACCACTGAAGGGACACCACCTCTGGGCTGAGGCACCAGGCTGCCAGCCACCAGGAGCAGCTCTCCAGACCAGTTATGGAAAGGTGGGAAGGACTTCAACTACACTTGCGCAATGCATTGCCCAGGAAGATGCGCAGAACGAGCTCCCATGGTTCCCACCAAGAGTGACAGACAAACAGGACATGGAGGAAGAAACAGGAAGTGTGGGGGCAGCTGTGGAGTGGAGCCCTAGGCCTGTTCTTGAGGCAATGGTGGGCCCACCAGCTCTGGAATGGACAGAGCCTGGAGCAAGGAAATGCCTGCCTTGAGGGAGACCCTGTGAGCAAGAGCCTGAGGGGCACGATGCCCCTGATTGCTGGCCCTGATTGCTGGCGTCCATGGCGCTGCCAGGAAATGCACCCCAGGAATTCCTCTCTTTAGGCCTCCACCTGCACGTGGGGTGGTCAGGACAGCAGGTGCTCCAGGGGCAGTTTCCCAGGTGAGGGAACACACGCAACCCTCAAGATCTGCTCCAGCCCCAAGAGGCCCTTCTTCATCCACACTGCATGCTGCACTGTCCTTCTCAAGGCATAGGACGGGCTCTAACCCAGGTGGACATATCAAGACGAAGCCCAGTAACTGCTAAAATCCTGACTTTTGGTTAAAGGTTTTTGCAAAATCAAAATATCCTGTGAAGGACTGGGGAGATAACTCTGAGGTCTAAGTGACTGTCTGGCAAGTGCAAGGTTCGGCGTTTGATCCCTGGTATTGCATGCTGTCCTGGCCCTGGAACCCTGGGCAAGTCATGCCAGCCCCTGAACCGAGTGTGGTGTCACACGCTTGTAATCCCAGTACTATGGGAGGTTCAGACAGGAGAAACACTGTAAGTCCAAACTGTGTGGTGAAACCCTGTATCAAAAAATAAAAAATAAATTAAAAATACATATCCTGTGAAGCCAGTCGAGAGCTTCCATCAGGAATCAGAGGCTTGGAGCTTGAAAGGACCTTGGGTGCTGGCGCTGGGGTCCCACACCAGGTTTCCACCCATGGAGAAACCATTGCCCAGGGAAACAAAGGCAATAGATGCCAGGCTAAGCATCAACTTGAATCTGGGGCATCCCCCGGTGCCCTTTCCCAACTGCTGCTGCTGCTGGGAGGTGACTGAGCTACTAGAAGAGGTGCTATAAGTCCCCTTGATGTGCTGTACCTCCTCTTGTGCTTCCTGGCTAGAGGACAGTGGTTCTGTCCCATGTCCCACCATGCTGTGCTGCCCAGGCCTAGTGCCATGAGGTTGACTGACGATGGCCCGGTGCCTCCAGAGCTGTGCACTATGTCAGCATTGCTGGTGTCAAGATGATTATCTCAGGACAGAACGTTGACGTGGGCCCAAGTCACCACCAACTGCTGTTCAGAAGGGCAAGGGACCCAGTGCAGCAGCTGCCCCTCAGCGCCCATCCTGGGGCTTTCTCTGAGACAGGCCTATGACCTGGTTCACATGGTTCCTTCTTCACGGCCCCCTGGGGCTCAGCCCAAGTCGGACCCTGTATGACTCAAGACAACCACTGCTTGTAGTTGCAGTTTTTTTGGGGGGATGCCAGGAATTGAACTCAGAACCTCAGTCTCACCAGGCAGGCACTGCACCACTGACCTAGGTTACAGGCCCACTAAGAAATCACTGCAATGGCCGTGACTCATCCACATGGCTGCACTGACAAAGGTTCTACAATCTGAGGTACAGGATCTCAGGATAAATCCTGAGGACATTTCACTGACCTTCTCAGACCAAAAATCTACAACTCTTGTTGCACAGGTCCTGCTTTACCTTGGTCTTATCCATCCAGTAGAAAAGTATGAAGACGAAATAGAGGAAGTAAAGCCATGCTGTTATGTTGAGCTGTGGGGGACTCAGGTCAATAATTTCTGACATTGCCAGTTAAACAGAAGACCCAATGCTATTATGGGCTACTGGCCTCTTTTAGAATATTTTGCTGAGTTCACACACCTATAATATTCAATAACGGAACTTAAAAAAAATGGGGTATACCGATGAATGTCCATTTTGTATCTGTGTATTCAAAGTGGTTGGGATAGATATATAGTTGCATTCTCTTAATGAATAGAATGATTTTTTCTAATGGTGTTTGTAAATAGGATCACAAGTCCGCATCTTGTACAGCAATTAACCACTAAGAAGAATATATGCAGTGTATTATTTGTTGAAACTGTACTTTCGATTGGATTTGAAACTGTCTCATTGCTATCTGTTTATCAATAAAACTTTGAAAAAAAAAAAAAAAAAACTCCTAACACTAAAAAAAAAAAAAAAGAAATCACTGCTATGATCACCACCCAGGGCTAATATAACCAGCCAATGCTGCCATAAGACCGGGTTGCTGCTATAAGCAACTGGGGCTACAGCAACCAACCAGAGCTGCTGTAACCGACCAGGGTTATGCTAAATGACCACAGCTACAATAACCAACTATGACTACAATAAGCAATCAAGTCAATGATAATCAATCAGTACTGTTGTAACCACCAGTGTTTCTATAACCAACAAGGGTTTCTGCACCTGGCCAGGCTTTCTATATCTGACTAAGGCTTCTAAAATGGACTGTTATCCGATTGCTATTGCCATCCCAGACCCTGCTAACCACCCCAAGTTCTGCAACACCCTCCCCCCTCCCCCGACTAGCAGTGGCTCCCTGTGCATGGCAAAGGCCACAGTAAAGGACCTTCCCAACACACACCTGGAGTTGCAGGTTCCTAAGCACAAAGCCAAACTACCAACTATGAGACAGGATGAAAGAGGGAAAATGGCCATTGTGGGGCAGCAACCCTGAGTTCTGTGGCAGTGATTTATGCTGGCCCATCCTGTATACAGAGAAGTGCCCTCTAATTTGTATAGCTTCAGTAACAGAGGTGTAGGTGCATTCAGTGACATCCATGTGCTGCCCCACCCAGCAAATTCCCAGGCAGCCAAGTCCCTGTAGTGCAGCTTCCAGGTAGGAGTAATATGGCCTTCCCTGTGTGGTCACCAGCCTCCTTCCAGGAACAGCCCAATGAGACCCCTATGGCCTCCCTCCATGCTGGGCCCCTCCTTACAACACAGGGGCCAGCCACCGATGCTCACCATCCTGGCTGATCTGGAACATCCCAGGCCATGGCCCACAAGATGCTTCCCACATCTGCCCATGGGTGGCCGTGGCAGTGGCTGGGGGTTATCCTGTGGTATCTTGGCCCCTGCTTCCCTGGAAGGACCAGCAGCCAAGGGCCAGTCCTGTGGGGCCTGAGGCCAGCCCTGCTCCTATGATGGAGAACACTACAAAGCAGATCTGAGCAGGACTTGAATTAATCAGTTGGCTTTCCATGTTTACTTGTGAGTCTGTCCAAGGCCTGAGCCCCTTGCCTGGAGATGAACAGTGGACTTAGAGTAAGTGAACCTCTGTGAGTCACTGGTCCCTACTGAGGTCTGTAATGGCAGGTAAAGCCGTGGAGCCTCAAAGCATAAGACAAGGCCACAGCCAAGGACATGAGGCTACAACATCAACTAAATAGACTGTAGCCTCAGGCGTCTCACTCCAGGTTGGAGCCCTTCCTGGAGTTAACACAGCTCTCCTGAATTAACATAGTACCTTACTTGCAGAAGTCCTTGAGCAGTTCCACCCTTCTAGAGTAATCCCTTCCCTTTCTCTAAAAATTAAATAAATACTGACTGGGCCACCCAGAGAAGATCTTGGTCTTATCTTGGTACGAATCTCCAATTCTGTGAGAGGATTTTGATCCTCCTAGAGTCCTGAAATCATTCCATTTGTCTCTTACTTGGCCTTCATTTGGGAGACTGTGGGCCTGATCAGTGTGCAATAACTAAGAGATAACAGTAGCCCGAGACTCCTAGTGTGCTTGCACTCAGTGAGGCTGGGAGACACCACCTCCACCTGCACCTCAGCAGGGGCCAGGCCAAGGGCGCAGTGCCTGACTCTGGCATGCATGGAAGGGACAGGGACCCCAACAGCAGGTCAGGATCCTCTAAGGCTGTGCAAGGGTTCTAAGCATCAGTGCTCTGCACCCACCCTGGAGGACCAGGGTCCCACGCGCCAAGGTGCATGCTGTGGCCCTGCAGGGACAGTGGTCATCCATGGAGCCCGGGCTACATTGGCCTCCTCCTCAAGAGCACATGGTGGGATGTTTGAGCACCTTTGCTAGAAGGGCATAGTGTCCACCTCTACGGATGAATGGAGCACACTCAGGGTGAATGACAACAATGTCAACTCTGTCCAGAGAATGGGCACCGCATCCATGATACCTGCTTACCTAAGTCCCTGTGAGAAGGCCCAGCTCGTGTTCCTGTGAGCAGGATCCAAGTCTGACCAGGGCAAGTGGGTAGGCATGGGGACCACATGAGGACACCCTCTACTACACCATCCAAGGCCCGCTTCTCAGGGAAGGCATTACAGACAACCACAGCCCAGCCCATGACCCAGAAGCAACGGCCTGCAGATCATAAAGTCAAGGTTTTATGGGACCCAGAGGATCTGGGCAAGCTCCATCTCCTCCAGCATTGGGGGTGAGAGGACAGGAGGAGGGGCTCACACGGATGAAGTTCCAAGGGAGGACATAGAGAGAGATGAGGCAGATGCAGGATGTAGGAGGCAGGGAGCGGGGGAGGCATGGGAACAGGAATGGTTGAGGCCAGGGCAGAGCCACTGGTGACAATATCCAGAATGTGAGCAGGGCCTATGGTTGCAATGTCCAACAAAGCAGAGGGGTGG